TTACACTCCCCTTCACTTAAGGATACTTTGTACCAAGTTTGGTTAAAATTGGCCCAGTGGTTCTTGAGAAGAAGTTGAAAATGTGAAAAGTTTACAGACGGACGGACAGACGGACGGACGGACGGACAGACGGACGGACGACGGACAACGGGTGATCAGAAAAGCTCACTTGAGCTTTCAGCTCAGGTGAGCTAAAAAGCACAGACAAACACATTTTACACTTAAATCGACAAAGTAATACGTCCGAAATGAAGAGTGTACATATGCAACATTTAACTCTGATAAAATATTTTATTAAACTTTAACAGTCACCCAGCCAAATAATTACTCAATTAGTGATGCTGACCTAGAGAGAAAAAAAAATGGAGCCCACATCATACACTAAGTCAGACAACAATAATTTTTTTGTTTTATTCTTTTTGATTCGCTGAAACATTGCATTTGACTTTTCGAAATAAACCTTTTTTTTTCTTTGACGACTCAGTTCATACATGTAATGTGTATACTCGTTTCTACTCTTTATTTTTCATTTATTTCATGATCCGAAATTTGAGAGAATTCAGAGTTTTCATTGGAATTATCTTATTTCATAACCTTAGCGCCGCCCTATCAGAATATCAGACTCATTAATTTCAATTTACTCCAATTATTATCTAATTAAAAAAAACATTTGCTAGGGATCGGGGAGGAGGGGGGGGGGGTTATAAAAAATGTGTTGTATTCATTTTCGTAACTCTTTGTGAGGAATACTTTTTTGGGTTAAGGATACACTAGGAAGACAATGGAAAAGTGAGTGAATAACCCCCCCCCCCTCCCTTCTTAATTTCTGATTTATACTATTATTATTCAGTATTTTTCACGCATAAAAAAATAAATAAATAGAAAGATAGAAATATACCTAATTGGAAAGAAAATAAATAAAAAATTGAATTAATCGTCTTATAGCTAACTCGTTTCACAGCGTTTGCAATTGTTCAAAAATGGAGGAGATCCATTTTTACCTGGACAAAATCCAGGAGGTCATGAGGATCATGAAGTGTCCGTGAGTATCTGTCTAATTGTGGATTTAATTAAATTGTGAATGGAAATTTTTTTCAATGACTTCTAATGTTAAGTAATTTATTTTTAATTTTCACATTGATCAACATTCGCCTTCTCTTAATATAGACGAAAAGAACACAGAGTATGTAGTAGAGAGAGGAGAACATCAACTCCTAAAGTGGAGGGGGCCTGGTCAGTTAAAATGTATTTTTATTCATCCTTTTTACCAAAAAATTGATTCAGGTGATATATTGTATGCTTAGTTTTTAACACTAACCAGATAAATCATTTTATTCAATAAAAGTCAATGTTTCATTACTTTTTAAAGGTTTAAAACTCCCAGTGCCCCCAAAAGACTGAGACTCTGGTTAGTATTCTCTCTTTAATCACTTGTCTTTAAACGCTTAGTCTAGATTAAATATTATCTTCAATTTCTTGTGTTTTTCTCCAGCCGTCCAAGGACTCTCCTCAGAAAACGAACTAATCAGTAAGTTTCACTTTGAGGGTTTTGACATTTATATACTATAATTGAACTTAAATGGAGAATTACAATTCTTTCCAAGAAAATATATCACTTTCATCCTTTCTTTCTTTTTAAGAAATGGCGATGAAGTGGGAGGTCTCCCCAATAAGGTTAGAACTATCATTATCTCCTCTCGTCCATATATACATTTTTTTTTTACTTTAAAGTATAAAAAGCAAATGGAAATATAAATTGTCTTATAATTAAAGTCTCAGTACAAAACAAAAATTTTCATGGAAAAAAAAATCAACACATCCTCTGATTGTTTTCTTTTTCAGGTTATTTGTCAATTCTTTTTATTATTTTTTTTTAAATTATGTAAATAAAAAATTTCAGTAACGAGTCGGACCCCATTCTGATCGGTTCCGAGTGAGTAGTGACTTTCAAAATTATCAAACATCAATATAAGTTTAAACAAAAGAAATTAACTGAATTAGAAATTAAGTGTTTAAAATACTGTTTCCTTCACACACGGTAATTTTCCTTTTTATATTGTAGTTCGGAGTCGGAATTGGCGTGTATTCCGCTGTTAGTTTTCTTTTTTTTTTTTTTTTTTCAAAACAATAAACCCTTAATAAATATATGTATATCATACAAGAATGTACTTTAAAAGAAAACTTTTTTTTCTACTACTTCAGGAAATGCACAGGTGAAAATATTTATCATAATAAGTGACTTTTTTTTTCTTTTAACTAATATTTATTTTCTTCATTTCAGGGAATTCAGTGAGGAAGACCAGAAAGAAAACCAAGTCCAGGAAGAAGACCAGGACGAGATTATCATTCCTCCGTAAGTCTAAGTACTCTGTATGTAAAAAAAAATGGATTAATTTCGATGGAATGAAAAGAATAAACCTTATTCGGTCATATGATAGATTTTTCCTCTTCTTCACGAAAGTCGTATTTGTTTTTCCCGGAGTAAACAGGATTCCCGTTTTATTTTCTCAGAAAAAAAAAAATTAAATCAGTTTTACTTTATTTCCATTTATTCTTCATTTATTTCATTTCACAGATCCCAGATGCAAAACCAATAGAGAAGAAAGAACAAAAAGACCACAAGATGTCAAACAAGATATTTTTTTTTTCATGAAATTAAAAAGTAGAGAGTATCCAATACTATTGTTTTTCTTTTATGCAGAATTACTGAAACTTCTTCATTGTGTCAACATAAGCAAGTTTGGAGTACACTTTGTACTTATATGAGGGGTGCACGATATGCCATCATGAGGTAAGGTAAATGGTCATCCCAGTCATCTTTGTATCATTGACAAAAGCAGACAACATGGCAATCAGAGTTCTATTAAAACGCTCAACAAGGCCATCAGATTGTGGTCTATATGGAGTGGTTCTAGTTTTCTCTATACCTAGAAGTTTACAAAGTTCAGAAAATAATTCACTCTCAAATTCTCTCCCCTGATCAGTATGAATTTGATTTGGAACGCCAAAACGTGAAATAAATTCAGTAGCAAGTTTGTCAGCAACTGTAAGGGCAGTGTGATCAGATACAGCGTATGCTTTTTTCCATTTTGAAAAATAGTCACCTACAACAATGATATACTCATTTCCATTACTGGTTGTAGGTAAACCACCTAAAATATCTATTGCAATTCTGTCTAATGGTTTTGTAGATTGAAGGAGAGAAGATTGAAGTGGGGATCTTCCAAACCCTGGACCTGGTTTTCTACGTGCACAAAGATCACATGATTGACACCATAATTTAACATCATTTGACAAGCCAGGCCAAAAGAACCTTCTCTTGACAGACTCGTATGTTTTATCTCTCCCTAAATGACCTGAAATTCTGTAGGGATTCCAAAATCTTTTCTCTCATAATTTGAGGGGCAACAATCTGAAAAATAGTATGATCTTCTGGATCTTTTTCACTCACTCTGTATAAAATTTCATCAGAACCAATTTCAAACTCTTCCCACATTTGACATAAAGTTCGAATTTCATGGGAAAATGAACCTATAGTTTGTCTGTTTGGTTTACTGACTTGTTCAATTTTGAGTTGTTTGAATGTTTGTGTCTTCATTTTGCCATTCTTTTATTTGAGCAGGACCCCAACTTTCAACCCAATTTGATACTTCAGGAGTATTGTCATCGGCTTGGACAGGATATATTCCCTGATCAGAATACTTATATTCTTCAAGGAATTCTCATTTTTCCGCCTCAACCTCCGAAGTCAAATTTTCACTACCTAACATAGATTTTTGAAATTTTGAATCACAATCAGGGCAATTTTCTCTTGTACATTTACGCTTGACTGGAATTCTGGACAACCCATCAGCATTTCTATGCTGAGTGCCTTGACGATGCTCTATGTCAAAATCAAACATATCAATAATGCTTATCCATCGAGCAATCATTCCCTCAGGATTTTTGAAATTTTTAAGCCATTTGAGTGAAGCATGGTCGGTTCGAATCAAAAATTTCTGACCAAACAAGTAATTTCTGAAATGTTTCAAAAACACTACAATAGCCAAAAGTTCTTTGTGGGTAGTACAGTATTTTCTTTGAGAGTTTTGTAATGACACACTGGCATATGCTATAACTCTTTCTTCTCCATCTTGTATTTGAGATAACACACCACCCAACCCAGTGTCACTGGCATCTGTGTCAAGTATGAATTTACCATTTGCAGTAGGGTAGGCCAAAATTGGGACAGAGGTCAATAATGTCTTCAGCTCATTAAAAGCTTTTTGACAATTATCATCCCATTTAAACCTTTTGTTTTTCCTAGTGAGTTGACTCAAAGGAGATGCTATGGTTGAAAAATTTGGAATAAATTTCCGATAATAACCAGCTGTACCTAAAAATGATCTGATTTCAGTGACATTTGTTGGAATAGGCCAATTTTGAACTGCATTTATTTTCTTTGGATCACAGCTGATTCCAGCTTTTGAAACTCTGTGGCCTAAATATGAAACTTCGGTTTGAAACAGAGAACACTTTTTGGGTTTGAGTTTCAAGTTTGCTTTTCGAAAACACTCAAAAACTTCTCTAATAAGATTTCTCAATGCATTGCCAAAAACTATGACATCATCCATATAACATAAGCATCTTGTGCAATTGAGTCCCCCTAACACCAAATTCATAAGGCGTGAAAAAGTCGCAGGGGCATTGCAGAATCCAAAAGGCATAACATTGAAATGATACAATCCCCTGTGAGTAGTATAAGAAGTTTTGTTCTTATCTGACTCTTTCAATGGACATTGCCAATACCCACTAGCCAAATCTAATGTGGAAAACCATTGTGCACCTGATAATGCATCAAGCGCATCATCTATTCTGTTCAAGGGATAGGCATCCTTCTTCGTAATGGAATTTAATTTGCGAAAATCTATGCAAAATCTGGTAGACCCATCTGATTTTGTAACCAAAACAGGAGCAGACCATGGACTATGACTTGGCTCTATTATTTCTTGTTCAAGCATTTAGTCAAGTTCTTGTTCTACAATTTCTTTCTCCTGTTTTGGGGATAATCTCCGAGGAGGTACTTTAATGGGACTTTCACACCCGGTATCTATGCTATGTTCTACCAAATCAGTTTGACCCAGTTTTCCATCAGGTTTCATAAAAATGTCTTCAAACTCAAGCAACAAACTCTCAATTTTCTTTTTCTCTTTCCCATTTAATTGATTGGAGCTTTTGTCTAGTAAAATAGCCAAATGTTCGGGAAGTTTTGAACTTTTTGTTTGAGTTTTAGAATGAGGCTCTACTTGATGCACACTCTCAACTGGTTCTAGATTAGCTATGCAAGTATTTCTGTTGATTTTAACTGACCTGTTTGTTAGATTGAGAAGGGAGATAACTATTTTCTCCTTCTTAGGATCAACTAATGTTTTTGCCATTAACAGACCATTGACATTGACAATTTGTTTAGGTTCAACCAACCCATATTTGGTACCAAGTTTCCCTTGAATATACCCTGTACAACAAAATTCTGTGTCAGGAGGTATTTTAATGGTATCACTGAGTCTTATTCTGGCACATCTAAACAAAGTTTTAGGGTTTTCAGAAAGAGGGAAATTTTGTTTACCTATTTTCAAGGTCTCATTTTGGAAGTTTACAACTCCTTTATATTTCTTTAGGAAATCCACTCCCAATATACCAATATCACCCTCAAACTTCCCTACAAGCATTTGTTGTTCAAAAACATTGTCTGGGTCACATAAACTAAATGAAAAATTTGACATTCCTAGTATTGGGATAGATTCACCTTTCCGACACAACAGTGTTTTATTTACACTTTTCAGCTGCTTAGGTTTTATCTTCCCAGATAACATGTAAAATATGTCTTCATCCAGGACAGTGATTCATTTTGGTGTGCGTCCTGCGTAAATTACGCATAAATTTTGCTCAGGACGCATTATTTCAATAAATGTGCATCCCAATGGACGCATTTAATTTATAAAATGAAAGGTATAATTTTAAATTATTTCGGTATAATCTGCTTCAAACCTTGGCAGATTGCATTATATCCACGTGCTAAGCGATACTCATGAGCGATTTTAGCAGTTATAAGGTTGTCAACAACAGGTCAGATTTCAAACTTCACTGTTAAATTGCATTTAACAATGAAACAATTATCAGAAAAAGAAAGTTCAATTTTGTCTGCTGAAGCGTTTCTGAAACTTATACTATAAATTTGTATTTTAGCTGTAACCTGGATCATTTCAATTTCTTCCGTAGAAGCTAATAAGTATTTGATCATTCTTCTGTCAGGCTATTTTTCTTTCTTCTTCTTTTTTTTTTTTTTTTTTTTTTAAAACTTTCTTTACTTCATTCAATAGAACTGGTCTGCTTCTGTGCATTTTATGACAGAATTGTATACAGTGGCGCCTCGTTTATCCGGACGCCTCTGTCCCCAACGAAATCGTCCGGATAAATGAATCGTCCGGATAATTGAATCACATCTCAAAAAGCACTCTCTAAGCATGTATATATGCACATTCGTGTTTCAAATGTGACAGCAAAGAAAAAAAAAACTTTTAAATTATATTTTTGTTAATTGTTTTAAAAGCGGTAATTGATTAATGAAAAAATATATTAAAATGTAATTTACACAATAAAAAAAATGGACGGGCAATTTTATGCCGAGACCTTCTTTTTTAATTCGCCTTCTCTCTGGCATGCGACTTCATGGGTTGAGCAAATTTTGATCTACTGTTGTTTTATTTTGCCATATATTATAATTATTGAAGCTCATATGATATTACAGAACTGTTCAGCATCATCATATAAAATGTTCAAATATAAACTAACCCTCTATATTCTCCGTATATTCATTACACAGGATTACTATAAAATTAACTGAACACTGCAAACTAACTCAAACAAAGTATTAACGAGGTTCGCTCCTGAGCTTTCGAGCAGATTTATATCTTGACCTATATTTCAAACATTCTGCATAAAGTTTTAATTCTTACAATAATTTTGGATTCTACATTGCCAATTAAACTATATTCAGTTAAAACTCCATGATTAAATTCCATACCAAAAGCATTAAGTGAGGAACTATATTTTGTGGCGGAAGGTTTTTCAGAAGAAAATGATCATTTTTTCTCTTTCGAAGTATTTGAAGTATGTTAAGTTTGGATTCCCATTTTTACATGCAGCCTGCACACAGAGTTATTTTGTGCAGTGAACTGTTTTATATTGGTCCTACATAATATATCAAATTAACTGTCATGAATTCTATCATCATATTTCATAAATATAGCAAATATATTGTGAAAATCAAGAAAAAAAAATCCCTATTTTAAGCTTAAAATTAGCACTATTTTAGTAATATCTAAAAATTAACATCACAGACCCCCACTTTTTATTTTATTTTCTGAATATATAAGATACTTTTAACCATTCTTCTTAAATTCAGTAAAATGTCATTACTTTCAAATGATTTTTTTGCTTGTTAAATTTTAATGCCAGAAAAATGTAATTTTTTGAGTGCAAAAAGGTCAAATAATTGAACATGCGGAGTAATTTGAAATTTTTTTTGTTGTCACAAATTTTAATGTGTCTATTTGAGATGAAATAAGGCTGTGTTTGTTCCTATAATTTATTTGAATAAAAAATATTGGAGGAAAAACTTTAAAAATTGATTTATGTGTAAGACGTATTTACAGTGCAAAAAGGTCAAACTAAATGCTCTGCAGCGCCAAAAGAAGCGCATTGACCCCCATTTTTTGTTTTGATTTTTAATTAAGCTATGTGTATAAATTCTAAAAATATACTTAATAAAAAATTCTCATTACTTTTGATGGCAGGATCCAACCTCCTTAAAAACATTCGTAAACGCAAACCATCTTCATGATTATCAATTTTTTTTTTCTACAGACGCTTAGTTTGAATTTCGATCATTGAAAAATACCTTGAAAAACGTAATCAACTTCTGTACGTAACGCCAGTTTTATACGTATATTGGACGTTCGTAAACGGTAGTACATTAAATAAAGATATTTCTTCAGTTATGTACCTTTCTATACTGTCTTGTGGGAAAAGAAAGCGTTTCAAATACATTTACGTTTTTTAGAAATGGAACATCGTATTTTAGTCTAACGCAATCGACATGAGAAAGAGCATAATTACGAAATCGCTCATTATTTATTGTTCATTTTATTTACAACTCTCCAAAATTCTGCTGAATTTACCGATATATGTACGGTTAGCAATATGATTTTGAACGGATTATTTTTTAATTAATGCACAGTGTCAGCTAAATTCTTTGAGCTTCATAAATGAGATAAACGTTTGATTGAATTGGGGTAAACACACGCTAATTATAGACGCTATTGTTTGTAGGTCACAGGTAACCGCCTTCAAACTGACTGCATGGCCAATGTTTTTACAACAATTAACACGAATGCAAGAAAAGTGTGAAAATGAAGTTTCTTGAAATATTACCGTCCGGATAAACGAGTCATTTTTCAATGAACTATTATGTTTGTAGTAGAAATTGACCGTCCGGATACGGAACGCGAATTTCCGGATTAATGGGACAAAATAACGTGGAAAAGTCGGTTCCCAAAAAATATCGTCCGGATGGTGAAGCGTCCGGATAAATGGCGTCCGGATAAACGCGGCGCCACTGTATATCAAAATACAAATTACATGGCCGTAGGAACCGGGGGGGGGGCACGGGGGGCCGTGCCCCCAAATAATTTTGCCGATATATAGATTACTATAAAAAACATAGCTACTATATGCTTGTGCCCCCTCAATAAAAACGTCTGATGACCTTTTTTTTTTTTTTTTTTTGCTTGTCAAGGAATTTTGGTAGTTGATAGTGCCCCCCCCCCCAACTGAAAATGTTCAGCTGTGCAACCCCCCCCCCCCCCCAACTGAAACTGCTTCCTACGGGCCTGAATTATATGTGAAATCGTAAGTACGATCTAAAAATAGAACCAAGGTGCACAGGTTACAATATATTATTTACATGCTACAAAATCATTTATTCTTACTTCCATATTGATAGTAATTATAGAATACACCACTCACAGCTTCAATAAAACAACTGCACTTACGGACAAAACTCTTTTCTATTACACCAGAATTTCCTCTGCAGTATCTAATATACGGTACCATTGAGTACCCTTGGATTTGGACGCATTGGTTTTGGCATGGCACTCATTAATGTTAGTAAAAGGGGTCCTTTGGACCCATGATAACCATTTTCAAAATGAATCACTGCAGGATAGTAACTGCAGAACCAGTATCAACCAGAAAACTCATTTGAACATCACCTATCTTAGCTTCAATAAACAAGCAACTTGGTTTAATGGTGTTCAATGTCATCATTGGCCTATTGGTAAATTTGTCAATTTCACCAGTTTTAAGGGCTGAATTGTCGGCCTCGAATCCAACCCGACCTAGTTTCCCGAATTTTTATTTGCATTGACTGAGTTAGAAGGAGCATTTTGATTCCGTTGATAGAATTTTGATGAACATTTCCAATGAGGATGATCCATTTTCTGACAATATTTGCATTTGAATTTTCTTTCATTTTTCAGGGATCTAATTTCAGATGTGATTTGATTCATCATTTTTCCCATTTCTTCAGATATAATTGTAGCCAAATCTTTTTCAGAAATTTCAGGAGATTTCTTATTTTCAGAAACTACATGGACATTTTCCAGAAGTCTCTCATCACTTGCATTAGGCTTCCTGAGAATTGTTTTAGGCCTATCAAAAGCCTCATACTCAACAGCCAAAGTGATTGCATCATCGACACTTCTTGGATGTCTAAACTGAACATGTTTCTTGATTTCTGTGTTATTCAAACCTGAAATAAATTGATCAATTACATAAGTTTCCCTAGCAACTCGATCCAACTGAGGGTAGGCTTTTGCAGCAAGGTGTTTTAATGCATAACCAAATTCTGGTATTGTTTCAGTGTCTACGCGTTTGCGATTTTTAAATTGACATCTATATGCAGCTTCGCGTCCCGGAGGATTAAACCTTTGCATGAGAACACGCTTAATGTCATCAAATTCTCTGATATTTCCAGGGTCTAAATCTCTAAACACTTGTTGAGCATACCTTTTTAAACTAATAGCTAGCTGCTGTGCTTTTTCAGCACTGGTCCAGCCATTGTACATTGAAACCCATTCAAAATGTTGTAAATAAATTTCTAGATCTGATGTACCGTCATAAGTTTGTGGTTCTTTTTCTTTTCTTGCAAGTCTGGATGATTTAGAAAAATTACAATGATCAGATAACTCTTGGGGCATTGTTTGCATATGTAAGCGCGTAGGAGTTACTCCCCTTGATTGCGTTTCATACGTGTTGAACTGGCGCGCACGCTGCGGCAATACGTTTTCCTGATTTATTTCACCCCTTACTTGGGAACCCCCATGTAAATGTGATTAATGTAGGGACCTCTGTGTGGGCAGAGATGTAACAGAGTGTCCTTGATCACCAGGTTGTTAAAACCTTTCGTTAACCAAGGTATCTCTTAAACTCTGCGGGGTATATGTGCGTGGTATGTCTCTAGAGTGATCTGAGTCAAAGTGCACCCGTGCAGGGATTTTTGGCAAAGTATTTTGACTGTCCGAAATGAGTGGAGTGTTGGTAAAAATATTTGGCTTTTGTTTCTGAATTCCACTTGTAACTGGAGTTTCATTTGCATTTCCAACACCAAAGTTCCGAAATTCTGTTTCTGAAATTGATTGATCTTGTTGTTGTAAATTTTCATTGTCATGTTCCGAAAATTCCGAAAGTTCAGGAAACATTTCTCTAAGTTCTTTTCTAACATCTTCTCTAAACTTTTCTGTATCGGGTACAC